TATATTCCTAGTATTCTAGGAGGCTAATATAGGAAGATTGCAAGGTTGAGCCCAGCCTGGGAAAATTAGCCGGGCCCTGTCTCAGAATAAAACAGAAAAAAGGGCTGGGGGTGGAGCCTAATGCTCCTGGACTCAATTCCCAGGACTACAAAAACATTTTCAAAATCATTTAAATTTACATTTAATACAGGTCAGTTTTAGGTATATGCATAATATATGTATGGTATATTAGTTATATGTCAGTGAATCTGTTTTTTAAAAAAGAATTCAGGAGAGAATGAAGAGAATAACACAGAAGTAATATTCCTAAATCCTCGGCCCTGCTCTTGGCATTTTGATTGGGACTGTATTGAATCTGTATAACAGCTTGGGAGTCTGGCCACTTTGACAATACTTACTACGCAGAGGAGCACTTTGAGGACAAACACGAAGGAGAATCATGTCTGTGTGCAGGAGGAAAGTTTATTGGGAGATGTGGGGAAGATCAAGAAGAGCAGAAACAGTTGAGGGAACCACAGCCCACCACCCAAGGCCCTTCACAGCTCAGGCCTCTTGGTCCACCAAACACAGGCAGGAGACAGGGACCTGGCCACAGAGGTCCCTGCAGCAGAGGCTCAGAGCCAGGCCACAGTCCTGGGCATCCATCCTCCTTCCAGGACACGACTCATGGCGATGCTGGCCACAGGGTAGAGAGGTGGAGCAGTCCCCGGGGTCTCTCTGTCTTCATGAGGTCCTCCTCCTGGCCCTGGGCTACCTAGCACCCGAAGGTGTTGCAGGGCCCGCAGCGGGAGCGGGAAATACAAGGATTGGCAATGCAGGGCCCGATGGGCTTCTCACAGGCGGTGGTGGTGGCGCAGGGGTTGCAGGGCAGCCTGGAGCACAGGAGGATTGGATCATCAGAGGAGAAAGCTCCTTCCAAAGCGGGAGGGGTCAACCCGGACAGGCTGGGATACACAGAACCTGCTCCCTGACGCCTGAGGGACCCCAGTCCTCTTCCTACAAAGCCCAGAGGCAGTGGCAGAAAAAAGGAGGATGCCAGTCTTTGCCCTGTAGCCCTAGAGGTGTGGGGAGTCACTTTGTCCCTCTAAGCCTTAGCCTCACACCTATAAAATGGGATTGTGCTATCCAACACGTACAGGTGAATATTCCAAAACATTGTGTTCAGAAAAATGCTGTGCGAGCCAACAAGTGAAGTGTCCTATCAGCTCCTGGGCCATTTCCCCTGATGCTCAAGGCCCACCTGGAAGATTGTTATGACTCCCACTGTGCCTGCATCCATGATTCCAACAGGGATCAATGAAAACAATCGATTTCCAGGTTTAGGTGAAATCAGAGTGGTGATTGTCCCAGTTTTGTTTCCCTTTTTGATGTCACCAGCCATCCCTGAAGTTGCAAAGCTGAATTTACCCATCAGCAGCAGAAGGATCACCAGTAGGGACCAGTCATCGGTCTCTCTTTAGAGAGAGAAAAGACCTCTAGCCCCGGTAATGCTAGCGATAAACAACCCTATACTTCCCCTGCACTGTGCAAAACTCCAGTCTCTGTAGACACATTGTATCACGACTTGATCTGCAAAGCCACTGCTCCGTTCTTTGGTAAAAGTGAGCAGGTGCCCTCCCAGGGGTCGCCATTGCTGCACTCACTTGCAGTCCTCGCTGTCCAGCAGGCCCCGGTACGTGTTGATCTCGCACTCCAGCCGCGCCCGCACGTCCAGCAGCACCTGGTACTCCTGGTTC